TCGGCCCAGAAAACCTAGCCCCACTTTTTTCTCGTAAGACAGATATTTTGAACTAAAATATCTTTTGGAATCTTTTCTTTTGTATGTTTAAATCAACGTGTCTTTCTTTTTTTTTTGTTTTGGGTTATTGGAGGACAACTAGTCACTGTCAGAGGTCACGACCTCTTGTGCACAGGAATATCTTTTTATTCCGCTGGACTACAAAGTACAAACTATTACCTCTCATTTTAAATATAAAAATTAATTGAATAATTTAAATAAATTTTAAAAAAATAAATTATTTATTATAGTTAAATTTATTGATTAGAACTACTATTAATAAAATGATTATCTTAAAAAAATAAATAAATATGAGAGATAAAATAAATTAGAGTCTTATATTTAAAATTAAAATAAAACTTACATAAATTTTTATATTAAAAACCAATAACAAATTATAATAACATATTTATTCTTCTATCATGTGCAACTTCATACTTTTTAGAGAAAATTCTAAAACAAATGACATTTAAATTTTAAATTTTCAAATTAATGTAAAAAATAATTATGTTTAAAAATAAATAACAACACATCTTTATAATAATTTTTAATTTGTGATTTTAAAATTCTACGCTTAATTTTTTTATAATTAATTAAATAAACTGCTCAGTAATCAGAAAAAAAAAAATTTTAAGAATAAAGTCCCCCAAGGTGTACATGAAAAAACAATCAACACTTTTGATTTTTTTTTTGACTTATATCAACACTTTTGATTTTTTTTTTTTGACTTATATCAACACTTTTGATTTTTTTTTTGACTTATATGTGTGAACTTTTATTGAAAATACTGGAAATAAATCTCTCATTACAGATTTAATTAGTAAATAAAATTTAAAGATTTTATACAAATTAATTTTTTTTGTGTGTAATGTATCTTTTTTTATGTGCAAGCCAATGATTATGCGATATGCCACCCAATTTCTCTTTATATAAATAAAACTCTTTCATATAGAAATCATCCCTTATATGCAAACTAATTTTTATTTCTACATAATATTTGTGCAAATTAATTTTTTTTATCCAACTTATCATGCTTTATATGCAAGTAACCTTTCTTTGTAATTAATCATCCTAAATCTCATTTGTAAATTAAATTTTCAACGAAATATTTATCCTAATTTTTCTAATTTTATTTCGTAACATCTCCGTTATAAACAATTCGTCAAATTTACTTTGGAGACGTACAAGACCTTGAAAAAAAAGGTTTCAGATGCCAGATATCCCATATATTTAAGAACATTATCCCCCATTTTTATTACAAAAGTAAGCTGTTACCAGCGGATCGATCGGCCATTCCCTGCCCCCAGAACACAAAAAGAACAATGTTTCTTATGCTAACCTCGCTTCTTCGCCAAGAAAATACTTGCCAGAGCCGAAACAGAACAAAGACATAGGGAGTCGGATTTTAAGAACATAATTAACTACTTTCTTCGCCAACCATTCTACATATATATATATATATATATATTTTAATACCAAAACAAACACAGATGAAGTGAAAACTAAGAAAAACAGGAAGTAGACCAGGAGAGTAAAGAGGGCATAAAGACGAAACAAGTGACAAATGTACACACTTGAGTTGACTCCTAGAAAGAGGCAGAGGAGAGTGAAGAGCAAGAAAACAGAGCAAGGGTAGTGAAAGATCAAGGACACTTGGTCCTGTTGCCGTGGGTGGTCATATCAGTATAACAAGTTCCACAGAGCTCCCTGTTTCCCGACGTCCCTGGCGGCACGCACTTGCATCTCACACAGCAAGTCCCGCACGCCCTCTTGCACAGGTTCGGCCTCGAATGCAAGCTGCATCTTCCCGCACACAGCCCTCCACAATCTGCACATATCCACAGTCCCATTTTCAATATTTCTTCTATCACCATCATTCCTCTACTCCTTAACTATATCTAATTAATAAACTCACCTATGTTCTGCATCAGCTTTCTGTTCCCCTCCTTCACCGTCTGCTCATACCACATCAAAAACATTACTTCTCAAGTATCAATATTATGTCTGTGATTTCACACAGAGGAGGTAAAGGGTGTTAATATTAATACTCACTGGGAGAGGATGGAGGAGTTCTTCTTCGTCCAGTTGGTGTTCAATTTCCACATCAGATGAGACCTGCGTCATGCAACACATTCAGAGTCCAACATCAGAGAGTTCAAGTCTCAAAAACTGTGGTGTTAAAACAGAGTGAGTGGCCTTTGCATGTTAGTGCATATACCATTGGAAGGGACAGCATCAGAAACATCGCACCCAGCACAAGAAGCAGGCGAAGCGCCATGGCTGATCAATGAAGAAAATGAAGAGCAAAGACAAGAAAGGGCGGTGTCAGACTAGAAGAGGACAGATGTTGGTTTGGACTTACAGCCCAGCGGGTGGTATTTATAGAGAGGTGAAGGGGGTCGTGGAGGATTACGAGTGACGTGCAATAACGCTCGGGCCCCTCATGACGCCACCTGTAATTATCACCGTCGGTCCGGTTCCTGGATAAGTTTGACGCCCATCTCCTCTGCTCTCTCTCCTCCTCTGTCTAAGGAAGAAGATGATGGAAGACAGATGGATGGCAGCTGGAACCACAATCATAATAATCCCAAAGGCAAATAGGAATACTACTAATCAGTCAGCTTTGGGCTGCTGGCTACACCGAAACAAGAGCCAAAGTCTGACACTGCCTCTTGGTAAGCATAAAAAAGAAGGCAAGTACTTTGCCGTACTGAGCTAAACGACGATGTGTAGGGGATGGAGGAGGGGAGGGAGAAGTATCCATCTAATTCAGTGGGCCTCCAATCGCTTGTCGTTTATGCCACCTCTCGAAAACAATCAGCTTTCCAGCTGGACTCCCTCGCCCATCCACTTGTTCCCAGTCCTTTCTTATTTTGCCGCTGTTCGCCTCAGCCCACCTATCTTTAAAATAATGTTTTCTTTTTGAGTAAATTAAAAATAAGATTTGACACCTCCGTACAATATCTAAGTGGATGATTTGGCATGGGAAATTTAAACATATAAAATTATTTGAGGTGCTTTAGAGACATGTAAAAAATTATTAGATTATTTTCACCAAAAAAAATTATCAGATTAGATGAGTAGGTGAAGAGAGTAAATCAAGTAACAGAGAGTTTTCGGGAAAAAAATAGAAGACAAAAAAAAAACCCCAACTAAATTATTTAGGGAAATATTTTAGTTAACAATTTCTAAAGATTTAATTAATAATAATATCTTGAGGTTCATATAACTGACTTTATTTCTATTTTTTTAAAAATGTATCTAGTGTATTTATTATTTTAAAATATTTTATTATTTAATTTTGTCTTTCAAATATTGTTTGTGAGTGATTTTACTCTTGTCATTAAGGGTGTGTTTGGATGAAACCAAACCGTGGTTTGGAAAAGTGATTCTGGAGAATAGATTCTGGAAAAAATAGATTCTGTGAAGAATAGATTTTGTAAAAAAGTGATTCTGAGAAGTGAGAGTGTTTGGATAGTTGTTATCAGAAGCACTTTTTATATATACAATTACTAAAAAAAAGACATAAGTTAATATGATAATTACAGAAAAAATAGATTTTATGATATATTTTAATTTGAAGAAATAAAATTGTTAATAATATGTTTTTTACCAACATAATTAATAATACATAAGATAATATAATTAATAAATAATTAATGTCTATATATATTTATAAATATAAGATTAAATATATTTATAAAAAAATATGTTTATAAAAAAAATAACAAGATACATATCATATAGGCCCTCACACTCTCCCTTTTTTCTCCAAAAACAAAAAAATTTTGCTTTTTCCAAAACCATGGTTTTGGTTTTTGAAGAGGCTGTTTGGGTAGCATTTTCCCCAAACCATGGTTTGGGGTGCTATCCAAACAGAGCCTAAGTCTCATAAAAGGCTGACTAAGTGACGTTACTTATCTTTCTTGCTTTCAGCACTAAGAAATAATTAAAAATTAAGACTGGAAACATAAAAGATAAGTTTGCAAAATATTTAAGAGGATTACTAAAAGAATTTTTTTTAAAATGCTTAATCCTTCATAAAATTTAAAATGACTCATAATTTTTCCCATAAAATATATAGGTCAGGCATTGATTGACGTGTATGCACTCTTTTGGAACAAGTCCAGCTGTTCCATCGTACTAGTGGATTATTAAATCCGAAACATTAAAAATAAGAGATAAAAATTATATTTAGAATTTTAAAAAAATATTAGAGTATTTAGTATAAATAATTTTTTATCATGTGAAATTCAGCAAATACCACATCTCTTTATAGTATTCTCTAATCTCATATATATAAATTTGTTTAATTTCAAGTATCAAGTAATCACTCATATTAAATACTCTTATAATATTTTTTTTCAATTCCAATTCTAATTCTTATGTTTTATTTTTAATGTTTTATATCAAACAGGCCTTAGTTTAATAACAATTGACAAGCCAGACTTTTGAATATTTTTTAGGTAAATTTTCGAAAATAGATCCTCTCTATTTTCTTTTCTTCGGCTCCTCCTCCCTCCTCCCTTCTAATTTTTATAATTAATATAATTTAGACACTTTAGATTTAATTTTAAGTTGCAAAAAATGAAAATAACTTTAACAATATTAACCATGACTTTAGTCCTTAAAATGAATTTAATTTTTGGATTCTCTCCAATTGTTACACACTTGAACCAACCGTAACTATTTTTTATTTTCATATTTTCCGTACAAGATTGAGACAAACTCGCTTTTACAAGTTCGAGACTCTTATCTGTCGTTTTTATAATAAATTATGAAACGAATTTTGTTTTCAAACAGATCTTGGAATTTATTAAATAGTTTTATATGAAAGAAGTTAAGAAAAGAAGGAAAAAAAAAAAAGTCATAAACGCAAGAAGCGCAATTTTGTTATAGCGAAAATAATTTTATTTTATACATACATACATATATGTACTGATAATTTAACAGAGATTAAGAAAAAGAGAACGCGAGACGTACGCCTATTAATTTATTCTCCCTCTCCCATTTTACAAAATCAGATATTGTTAAACAATAAATATCGAAAAAACTTCCTGGATTCTAATTTCTAAATCATCATGGGATTTCGACATATTAGGAGGGTGAAAAAATGTGCGTAAAATGAAACAGCATGATGAATCATATGGAGAGCCATAAGCCACAATAACCAGCCATACTACATGACCTTCTTCTGCATGTTGTGGAGTCAACTCCACAATCTTCATCGGCGAAACACCTGTGGTCACTGCGAGCGTCAGGTACATGGCATCCACTCTCAATATGTTTTCCTGAACTTAGAGTCACCGCTGGACATACTTGCATTGACATTGCACTTATTTTGTATGCTTTCCCATCCTGCAAAACAAGAAACCCATGCATTGGCATCGTCCTTTTGTTCAAGCACAACAATGTCTGTGTCCGACACATAAATTTGACACTTGGCATAAATCATGATGCAACTCTCCGAATTATATACCAACGGCCACGCTTCTTTTACTCAAAACATATCTTTCCATTTCAAGGGTTTGCCAACAGTTTAGGCTATACTGATTTTTGAGACTATTGTTATAGTTGTTTAATATCAAATGCAATAGGAAAGGGAACTTTGTGTCAGCATGCATGAGAAAACTAAAATATCTAAAACGCTAATATACTGCCACGTCAATCAACCCAGGATCATCGACATATTAGAAAGATGCTTCCTTTCAGACGAACAAAAGAAATCACTACCGGAAATTGTTCAAGTACCTTCATGTAAGTCCAATTAGTAGGAATGTAAGTTTCTGGGAGCCTTTCTTGCCAAACACTTAGTACTGGAAGGGGATGGCCTTCAGTGGTAAATATGTAATTACCATCTTTTAAAAATGAATCATCAAATAGAAGATATAAATATTTGCACCTGCCAAATCATGAAAAGTTTTAATCTTAGCAATCACATATAAGGAAGAAAGTCCATTTTCAATTCCTTCTCCGCTTTAGTAAATAAAAATTACATGGTTGAAATGGAAAATAAGAAAACCTCACGTTTCAGCAAGGAAAAAACTATGCTGATGATCTTCCAGCTCCATTGTTTTCACATCCCTGACGCTTGCAAATCCACCTTCAACTTTGGTGTATGCGTTGAGGGAATTAATTATTGTTTCACCCACTTTAATATACCATGGATCTGAAAAATACCAAAGGCAACTGAAGTAATGAGATGGCGAAGCCAATACAGATATAATTCTTGTTGAAGGCCTATACTATGCTTTCCATGTTTGTCAAGATAGAATACCAAATAACATTGGTTGATAAGCCAAAAAAGTAATGTTTACAAAAATACTAAACTGAAACATGAAAGAATGATCAGACCTTTAGTTGCTTGATATAAATAGAATGTTGACTCTGCAAATTCAGGGCGCAATGGATAATATTTTTCAGCAGGATGCAGCATCTGATGGTTCAACAAATACCTTGACATTGGTTTACAGTGCAATATGTTAATTTATAAAAGTGATGTACTCCTCTAGTCCTAAATATAAGACCCATTTTGGTCTTATATTTAGGATCAGAGGGAGTGATAACAAAATGAGATGACTGCCGTACAAAAATAGACTTCAGATACAGAGTAACTCTCAGAAGCAGAATATACCTCTCTGGAAGCACTCCAAATTTCTCCCACACATGGTAGAACTCACGATGTGTTGAATTAGCAGCAGTAATGTCCCCAATAAGAACCTAGTGTCCATAAGTGACGGAAAAGGTAAGGCAGATATGTCTCTATCAACTTGAAAATTCAGTAGTTAGCTATCAATGCTCAAATACATGCCTGTAGGCCAGGCCAAAATGCTTGAAGACTTGTAAGTTGCCAATAAGTTGCCCTTCCTGTCCTCATATCAGCTTCATGGTACCTGCATTAAAATATCAAGCTCAAGTTAATAACTATTGCAGACGAAGCAAATATACTTAATCTTATATTTCTGCCTATGGGCTATCAATTCTAAAGCACTGGATAAAAATATCTGATAGAGCATTTATACAGTTAGTATGGTAATACCAAGGACCATGTCTGAAATATTTCTGCACAGCAACACAAGCAGAATGAAACATTCTCCAGAAGTCTTCCTTCCCAAAAAGGATATGGGCTTTAAGAAGATACTCGTAGAATGAATCAACCCCTAGAATATTTGAAAAAGTATCCAACGTCAAAAACATCAAGGTGACAAGGTCTGCCCATCAGTTTAATGGTCAACACATCACTACGATATAAATCAAAGTCATGTGTCAACAGCAGCAGACAGTTCACTATTTCCAAAATATGGACAATAGCATACAGCTGATATATTGGAAAATCCATGAACTGAAAGACAAAGGATAGGCCAATTCAGGGTGAGCCTACCCGCTCCAATTCCTGATGAAAATTCTATCCATTCCCCAGTTTCCACATCTAGAGTAGTTCCAAATAAATTTAATGAACTCCGCATGCTCCATAGCTTGTGAAGAGCACGTAAAGCCACTGATTCATATATAGGATCACCAGTCAATTTTGATAAAGCACCCATTTCAAGAATCAAAGAACCTGCATTTAAACAGAAAATTAGAATTAGACACAAATAAAACTATCATTCTACTATACCCTAGTCTTAAAACACTAAACTAGACCTCTCACCACAACCCGAAGTGCTCGTTTCTGTAGTCTCATTCTCCATCACTCCATACTGTTCACAGAATTTGGCAATGGTGTAATCATATATCTTTCTTTTTTTTTGGGAGGGGGGGGGACAGAAGGAAGAAAAAACAAAAGGACAAAGCAATAGCCTATAATTTATATAGCTTGAGACTTGAAGACAATTCATTCAAATGCAAAGAATAACATATTAACAAAGCCCCACTCTTTTGTTCAAAAGAAGAACTTTTTAAGATAACTGAAACCTCATTAATAGGAATTTCGCCATTATTTTCTTTAAATAACGAGGAATAATAATGACCAAGACAGAAGAAAGTAGAGACATTGGGAGAGTCGGAGAGATGTTCATGACAACAGCTTTGTAGGAGTATTCCCTACTTCAAACAGTCAAAATGCTAGGCAACAAATTAAAGGAAACTATACAGTAAAGATAATGTCGTATGGGATTGTAAATGTGGAAAATGCATGACTTCAGCATGTTCCTTGAAATACCTTTAAGTTGATCCATGCATATGGCAAACCCGTGGGTGTATTAAATGCTGGCAGAAAGCGGTTCCCTAAATCTTCAGCCAGTACTAGCAGCTGATTTTTGTAGTCTCCTTGAAAAAAATTATTTGCAGAATCTGATGCAAGAAGATGAGCAGAGACAAGTCCTCCAAGAGCTCTAATGTTGCACTGCATGATAATAATCAAGTGGTGGAACAATACCATTATCAGGCTTCAAACATCAAGTGTCACAAATAAACACTGGCATCTGGATGTCATTAAAAAAAACAATTAAAACCACCGTGCTCTCCAAACTACTGAATAAAAATTATTCAAGCAAATCCAAAATTTACCTCAAAAAGATTTATTCGTGCATCAACATCAAATGTTAGATTTTCAGAAAGCCAGAGCACTGCCCTCTTGAATTCAGTGTTGTTGCCCATAATAATCAGGCTAAAGGAGACAGGGCAATTAATATCAATTTACGGCGTCCAGTTCCAGAAGATGCAAAAGGAAGAAAACTCAGAAGAGATAACTATAGCTATAAAATTATAACAACCTAACAATTCAAGCCATTGTGACCGTACCAATATACCTAGACAATGATTCAATAAGTGTAAGGGCTGATCCATTATAGTCTTGAGGCAAGTGTTCAAGCTGCAATTGTAAATCGTAAACAGTTACTTTGTGGTACTCCTCTAACAAAATTACCTCTGACTTTCATAATCAACATGTAACTCACCTTCAAATTTCCGAGCTCACTAAGGGAGTTCGTGAATGTTTTGGTCAGAGGCTTTAGCTCATCATGCTGCACGAATACAGCAATTTAGATATTGTAAAGTAGGTGTGTGTCAATAAATATAACAATGAACACAAGTAACTAACCGGGAATGCATGAGTCATGTAGTTGTCATAAGCATGGTAAAACCTAAAAGCAAGAGTAAAAGAAAATCATGGACAGTTAAAAATTTGCGGTAAAAATCCGAGGAAAACACATATTAAAGGAAATGCAGTTCTATCAAGTTTTTATTCCCCAAACAAAGTCAACATAAAAAGTGAAATTGAACAAGTAAATTAAGGAGAGAGAAAAGATCGAATCAACATCAAACACAAAATGTAATTGCATTATACTAAACAGTGAAAATCCCTTGGGGCTAAAAGTATCATTCTGCCTCTTTGCTTAGGCTATCTTCACTTACACCATCAACCAACTACTGCTACAAGTCTCGCGTGAAAGATTGTATCCCAGAAAGTTCCGTTCAGAGATTTTTTTTTTGCCATATGCAAGGGGAAAATCCAGCGCTAAACATCTTATGCATTGTCACTTTCCCATATTTCGTTGACATACAAAATACTCTCACCCTGCACTTCTTCCTATATGATCTTCCTCCTAAATTCAGGCACACCATTCCAACAGACAATAAAGTAACAAGAGTCAACTTAATCAAATCAAAATTTGCAAGATTGTAAGCTTACACACATGTCATCGAAAGCATTTCGTAGAATGACCACGAAAGCTAGAGATTGGTGAAGAATGAACTAATCATTTCAACTGGGATATATAAGATAAACCACTATCCAATCAAAATAATAAATTGAGATGAGGCGATTTGTGGGTCATTAACATACATCTCGCGAGCTTTCTCTCTCATGCGTTTTTTCTTGGCAGCCCAACGGGATTGTGGTTCAGATACGGACGGGTCAGAAAAAGTCGAAAGTACCAAAAGGCACACTACAGCCCAACTCAAATATTTCCGACGAATCATAGCAATTTCGATCGAAATAGATGTAAGAGAGTTATGGGCAGGCAAGGTTTCAGGAAAAGGTAGAAGCGGATTTTGCTGCGGCGAAGAACCCGGGGGGAATACGATCTGGGAATGCTTTCCGCTTTGAGTAAAACCTCAAAGCCGACGAGGGAAAGTAAATAAGCAATTAAGCAAACGAAGATCAGGTACGAATTTTTTGTTTTGTTTTTCTCTTTCCAATTTTTGAAAACATTCTTTTGAAAAAAAAGCGAAGGTTTTCTAGATAAACCAAAAATATTAATTTTCATTTTGCAGATTTAAAAAACAATTATGTCCATGTTTTTTTTCCTGCTTTAAAAATGAAAAATCAACACTTGACGAGAGTACGGAAAAGAACAAAAATAATGAAAAAACTTGTTAAAACTTAAAACCTGGCAACCCAGGTGACACTAAATACTCCTCCGGTCCTAATTATAAGACCCAATTGACTTATTTGAGGAGATTAAGGAAGTAAGTTAAGTTGGTTATTTATAATAAATAAATGTTGTCATTCTTAAAATATCCTTACTAATTAAGTATATTGGCTAAAACTATCATTATTAGAAGGATTATCTTGGAAAAAAATGCATAAATATAAGAAACAAAATAGATTGGGTCTTATAATTAGGACCAAATAAAAAGTCAAATTGGGTCTTATAATAAGGACCAGAGAAGTACTAAATAAGAAATTATTTGTGAATTGAAACTCATGACTCCAATCTACTTTTTCTTCTTATATTTATCTCCTTTTTCTCAAAATAATTATTATAATAATAATAGTTCTAATCAATAAATTTTATTAGTAAAAATATTTTAAAAAAGATAACATATATTTATATAAATAACTAATTTAATTTATTTTTTTAATCCACTTAAATTAGTCAATTAGTTTTTATATTTAGAGTCCAAGATAATATGTTAAATACACGAGTTAAAGGGCAAAAAATCGAAAAACAACGTCAAAGAGAAATAGGCGGCATTTCTCTGGAGTCTGAAACAACGTGTGGTGAAGAAAAATAGAAAGAATGTCAGCACAGAATGGCGGTGTGGCAGAAAAGACCTGGGGCAGGGTGAGATGGAGTCTTGCGAATGTGATTTAACGTTAGGAAAGGGTTCATGTTGTGATTGTGGGGGGTAGTGTTAGCGAGTACTGACGTTGTCTCATCAACTATTTGTTTGTTGCTCCTAACGAAAATGTCAGCAATAGAGAACTGAAGATCAAAAATCAAGAGATTTATGATCTGAAGTCAAATAACGATCTTTCCTAATTGAAATTGGGCAGCCTAAAGAGGAAAAGTACAACGCAAGGAAGCTGCAAAAATTTACATATAAAATTACTGCTACCTTTTCTTTTTCGTAAAACTTATCATTGCTTCTTCTCAACATTGCTTCCATTCTACTCAAACTAAGCCCCTCATATCTTCCCCCAATGAAAATATCCGTTTGTTTCATTATATATCGATCGAAATATGCAATATTTATAATATTTTTATCATTATTTAAAAAATGACTATATTCTTGTCTTTTATTCCGGCCCCCAGGTGACATTTTGCATATTTAAAAACACTATTTTCATTTTACTTTATTCCATTGAATTGACTGTAATCATTGTTTGTTATGCTTCTATTATCCTCAATAGTTATCGTTTGTGAACAGAGTTGCAAAAGAAAAAAACCTGTAACCTACAACATATCTCCACACAAATCCATTGTCATGACCAGATGGGATTATTGGATTATAATGATAATCCATTAACAATGTTGTTCACAAAACAACTTGTAGATCTGATCCAATCCCCCTAGAAAAGAATCAGTTCATGAATATTTGGATGATAAGTTACTTTTCAACAAAACTACATTACCGAATTACAACGCCTGCATTCAAGATGCTGACAGATTTTGTAGTAAGACACTTAAAAGTGCATTCAATCATTTTGGATATCTTAATACCACCAAACAAACATCTTAAAAGCCGCATTACTTCCAAGACATCAGAGTCGAAGCGGCTGTACACTAACCAGCTCATAAAACTTCTAGGTTACATACGAATTATGAGCACAAGGCCTAATCCCCCACAGAAAAATGCAGGCCTTCAGAATCAAAATTGTTAAGTATTTGATATGCAGAGTTCATACTGAACGCTCACAGTATTTCAACAGAGGACAAGAGTTATCACAAGACGTTTTGTTAGGTTGGTTACCCCTTTTACTGGTACATTTATTACAGAGTTTACCATGTGTATACAGAAGACAGTTCAAGTCAAACATGAGTTCCTTTGGGATCCGGCGGTTTAGATGAAGATACGTCTTGTTTCTGTCTGCAAAAGCTGGTACCCACCCAATGGTTTTTGCAATCTCAAATATCTGTGTACATACATATTCATGTTTTACACTTGCAATGTGCGCGCGCGTGTGTATGGAACTTGGGGTGAAAGAGAAAAAGGAAATTGAACCTTTCTTTATGATACTGATAGTAGGAAGAGGAAATCATACTTACATGTGTGTCCACAGGAAAATCATCTCGCTGAAGATTGAACATCAATACACAAGATACCTGTCATCAATTCAACAGTTTAAAGAATCTGTTACCACTAGGAAGAGGAGATAAAACACAGTAAACTCAACTGAATCTTAATTCTCATGGCCTTTTGTGTAGAAGATGTCATGATCTTCGAAGGTGCAGTTTTACTTTAGATAACAAGTACTGCGGATGTTGTTATTACAGCAAATTATCAAATAAAGAAAATGATTTCTACTATATCATATGAAAGAAGATGGACTTGCTGTTTGATCATTAATAAACTAACAGGTCAAGAAGTCTGAACTCTTATGTCACAGTATCATCCAAAGCAGCCGTAAAAAGTCCTTTTGCTCATTTTGGTACCTTTATTTCCCCTTTTCCGGGGGAAAAATAGTTCTAACACACAAATAATGGTATACAGAAAACTAATAAATATGGGCTGCTGATAAGTTAATTATGATTACCATGGCTAACTTTGGCCAAGCCAAGTTCAGGTAAAAACGGAATTCCCAGCATATCAGATAAGAGTAGGGGGCAAAAAAAAAAAAAAAAAGACAGCAGGCTTTTTCCTTTGGACATTAACAGAAATAGACAGCCAGGAACATTAATAGAAATAAGCAGCAATTCCATAACCAGTCATTTGGACCACAGAATGAAATAAGATTGATAGAAAAGTGATACTCATGTCCTTGGTAAAGGTATAATAAATATGAGAAACTATAACAAGGATGCAATAAAAATTGCATGTCATATTGGAATGCCCCTTCAAAAGGAATGGTGAGATTGTCAAATGTAAAACTGAGCCTCAGCCTTACTTCAGTTTTTTCTGTTTTTCTTTTTCCCTCAAGTTGCTACTTGTAGCCAAACTCCCTCATACTCACAGCCCAAGGACTAGCTGATACGAGAAAACCTATTGGATTGATTATCCATATGATCATATCCCAATCTCTTTGCCCTTAATTTCATGCATTGGATATTTTAGAAACAAATCACGCATGCACCCCCACAATGCTCTTTCTAAGACAATCTCAGGTTTCATAAGACAGTAACAAAACTTCATAACTAAGTTGAACAAAGAAATCAGACCTCACCATTCCCACATCTTTTCTTGTGGAGATCAACTCACAATTTTGAGAATCAAGGATTTTAAATGGAAAAAAAATTAAAATTGAAAACAGCTTATTTGCAGAAAATTGTTCCGCTCAAAGTCAAATTGCATATGCCAGATTCAAAATTTTACCAACTATTACCAGAAACTCAATTTCCCACAGTGCAAGAACTTTATAGCTATATTTAAGAGCATATTGTGGATGGAATGAGAGTCTTAGCATACGTAATGACGCAGACTCTAGGCAAAGGTAGAAATTTTTATCAAGAATTATTTGCACAATATTTCAATTCAGAAAGTGACATGACATTTTTCCGCATGCATACAGATTAGAAATAGTGTGCTGTATCAGCAATGGATTGGCCAGAAGAAGAAGAAGAAGACTTAATGACTTTCGTATATAGCTTTTTTTTTCCCCCCAGTCTTCCATATTAATAGCAATAAACATAAAGCAAGAACCTAATGAAAAAGATAAGTAGAGAGGATTACTGTCTTGGGACCAATTCCTTTGAAAAGAGATAGCTCAGACTTAATTTCATCAAGAGACAAGTCTCGCAAATACTCCAAGCATAATTTTCCTCTTCTCTCAAGCAAACAATTTAATAGATTCTTAATACAAGAAGCCTTAGTTGGAGCCAAACCACCACACCGAATGGCATCCTCCACATCCTTGGTGCCAGCACTAAGAACCTTCACCAGCCAAAAGAATTCAATCATTCCTGTATTCCTTGAACTTTAGATCAAAGCATTTGACGTAATTTAAGCAAAATCGTATTACGCAAAAGATAAAAATTTTCCAAATTCTGGAACCTGTAACACCCTATCATACCTATGAAGCGGAAGACCAAGAATGACAAGGGCTGAAGGGCAACTAATGATGAAAGGTATGGATACAGAGGACTCGATGCATCAGTTTATCTCTATATCAAGGGCTAGGACTAAAGGAGGAACACTGCCATTGTGCAGCTCAAACTCAGAACACAAAGTCTGCTATGGATTTCAGCCACCATGATAACAATAAAAATGTGATGAATTTAATATGGTTATAACCAGTCAATCCCAGACAAATCTCAGATGAGAATGGATGGAAACAGAATTGAGCTACTTATTCATGGTGCTGTCTACCACCCTCAGAACAAAAGTATTTGACCACTATTCCAGCATTGGTATAAAGATTCGCCACGGGTGATGTGGGTTTTTTCTGCCTTTATAGTGTGTACCGTGTAATTAGAAAACGTCAATTTTATATATAGAGAGAACGCAGAATGAGACCAAGTTAAAAGCTAAACAGACATCTTCCCACGTAGGAAAGGCGGATTTGAGAGAAGCAAAAGCCCTCTGGGAATTTGCTTCAGTAGTATTCTGCGAGAGCACGGTCCGAACCAAACCGTCCAGGACGCTCTCTTCTTCGGCAGGTAACCCAGTGGCGTCCTGTGCCAATTCCACAGCATCGTCCGTTGATTTTCTGCGATACTTGGCGAACTCTTGGGGAAAACCGTGTAGGGCCAATAAAGTGTCTCGGACGGCTCGGCATTCTTCGGGGTTGGGTCGTGCGTGAATTGGGTACGGATCTTTCAGGTTTTCAATGGCGCCATTTGTGGTTCTCGCAGATTTTGGTCGAGTCTCCAACGAAGATTTTAACTTCGACTCTAGACCACTCTCGGGCTGCTTCCTTTTGCGGATCTTTCCCATTCTTTGGATTCAAAGGAGACAGTATTATCGGTGTTCTGTTTTTACTAACTTTTAAGCGCTTATATATTTATTAAATTATTAATTTATTTGTTAAGTATTTAAATTTTGCCTAAAAATATTAGTCATTTAACTTTATACAAGGTTTTACTTTGGTCCCTTAACTTTAAAAAATAAACTTTTAGTTTTCTAATCCTAAAGTGTTAACAAAAAATAATGATATTGAGCTCTTGAATGCTGATAAAATATTACTCCTCCGGTCCTTATTATAAGACCCTATTTGACTTTTTATTTGGTCCTAATTATAAGACCCCAATCCATTTTTCTCTTATATTTATGCATTTTTTTCCAAGATAATCCTTCTAATAATGATAGTTTTAGCCAATATACTTAATTAGCAAGGATATTTTAGGAATGACAACACTTATTTATTATAAATAACCAACTTAACTTACTTCCTTAATCTCCTCAAATAAGTCAATTGGGTCTTATAATTAGGATCGGAGGAGTACTAAATACTAACTTATTAAGTTTAATATTCAAAATGACTATGACTGTTACAAAAAATTATAATTTAAAAATAATAATTTTGGAGCTAAAAGACTAAAAGTATACTTAAAGTTAAGGGATCAAACTAAAACCTTATATAGAATTAAAAGACCAAGTGTATACTTTAGCCTTAAAATTAACAGACTAACAAATGAGAGATCCACATTCCAGAATCCAGATTATGAAGATTCAGAAGAAGCTCAAAGCTGCTGATCAGAGGGAAAAAAGAAACAGATTTTTAAGCTTCGGTCTGCAAGTAGGCCCACCAATTGATATTTACCTCTACAAGATCAATTTGCGAGTTCGTAGTCCCTCTAGACAAAGCAAGCGAATAGAAAGTGAAATCAACGTCCCCAATATCCGAAGGCCCTCACAGAAAAACATTACGTTCTTATCCGTGGCTCTTGTTGACTCGAGAAGACCAGTGCATAGTTTGGGAAGACCACTATAATTTGACAACTAATTGACTTGGCAGATCAGCTATTAAGATAACGTCCCCTTTTGTTCAGTTGGCTCATGTCTAATAAACACATCGTAAATGCCCAGTCTCAGGCAAGCATCGTGGCTCCTGCTAGTGCCTCTGCTCTTTCATTTCCTGTTCTGTTGTCTTAGATTGGTATTCTAATGTGTCCTTTTTGAATTCCCAACGTCAGTTTGTTGTTCTAAGCTCTCAAGTATCTTGGGTTATTTAGCCATGTTTTATCCTTTCTACGCTGAACCTTTTGGGATCTCTGTTTCATTCGAATCAAGGATCATGACTTGGATACCAATAGGCCTTGAGATTCTTGAGCGGTTTGGGAGGTAAATCCTGAGGTTAGAAGAGAAAGACCACAAGAATGAATCCCATCATTAAAAGAACACATTCAAAAAATGACCAATTTTTGGTGTTGCCTGTCAACGTGTCTTCTACATTTCACCAATAATTACTTACAACTTCCCACTGCTTTAAACCAACCAATAAATGCAACTATTTACCAAACAGAAATATACCCAACACAACCATCAAGTCTAAAATACATTCGAGTTCGCAATGTTGTCATTCCTCCCTCGGAACCGATTCCGGTTTCGCCCGCCCGAGTCCAATTCAAAATTCGACCCGTTTCCATCTTCCCCGTCTTCTCCTCCCGCCCGTATCGTCTGCACTATCTTCCTCGCTTTCTCTCTGGCTCTCTCTGTACCTCTCTCTTCAATCTCTTTCAACACCTCCATGACCCTTCCCTCCTTCGCCACTGCTCTGAACCTCAAGCTTCCGTGGCTGAGCGCATACAACGCAGCAACACAGTTCTCACGAGTTGACTCCGAGTCCAACTCTTTCCCCTTTAGTAAACTCACTAAGCAATCCACTGCATTACCGTCCAGCATCGCCGATTGTCCCTCCGTACACACAGCAAGGTTACAAAGAATTAGCAATACTCGGCTCGTCAATTTACCTGATCTCAACATCGCCAGTAGGGTCGGAATTGCCCCGAGTCTCACGAGCTTGAACCGATTGCTTTGTACTAACGTCAGATGGTACAACGCGAGCGCCGAGTCGTTTCGGGTACGCTCCGACTCGGATCTTAGCGCGTGCATGAGTGGCTGAAACGCGCCGAGAACTCCGATGGCCATTTTGTTGTCGTCGTCTAAAGCTAAGCTGAAGAGGGCGCCCGCTGCGTGTTCCTGCGATTCATCGGATCCCCCCTTCAAGACGTCAATGAGATAGGGGACGAATCCCCGCCGAACGATCTTCACCTTATTGGATTTCTCGAGGGAGAGATTGACCACCGAAGCGACGGCGTTTACTTGAACAACGGAGTACCTGGAGGCTATCAAAGATCGTAGGGCGTCAAGCAATCGGGGAGTGCAGAGCGAAATTCGGGTGTCCTCTCGGTTCCTCGTGATGCTTCTTAGTGATATTACGGCGTCTTCTTGCTCGAAAATCTCACTACTTTTCATCTTCGAGACTAATTTGCCCTCTTCTTCGGAAATTGGGCCATTAGGGTTTTGAAACTCCGATTCCACGGTCGCGGAAGAAGACGACGATGAAGAGTAACAGGTTGGACGAGTGGTTAGATGCAGAGGCGTGCCGGGACTGGGCACGATGATTACGGATTCCTCAGACGAGCACGAATCGAAGTGGTTAACTCGAGGACCCAACTCGGTGGCGGCGTGGGAGAAAATCACCGGCGGGTTGTCCGCCACCGCCTTCAGCAATTCCCTCTCTGAAACCCTTAAATCTGGCGAGTCCTGCTGGGACGCCATTGATAAGCGTACAGCCCCCTCGACCGAGCTATATTCAGGCGCGCAAGGGAGTTCCACACCGGAGCTTTTGCACCAATTGGAGATGGTACTTCTGATGGCCAAATTGGGAATAACTGTGGAGAAATCGGGTCGAGACCCATCTTCGAGGCTGGGGGAGAAGTTCAAATCCCTGCAAACCTGAACGGCAACGCGTTCGAATGTATGACCCGAAGCAACAACAACGGGGTCGGACATGAAAGTCCCAGAAATTGGACATAGAAACTCCTTTGGGGGATGCTTTGGTTGAAGCTTGGAATCAGAGGAGGGAGAAGAAGAAGAAGAACGATGGAAGGAAATTCTCCACCTTCGCTTGCCATTGCCACCACCCATTTCTTCAACGACTGGGGTGGACTTTTTCCTCGGATTCTTCTCCAATGAGCAACTCAGAGCAGCTCAATATCTTGCGAGTGAGTTGGGAGGTTGTACGAGGAGCACAGGTTGAAGAAGACCGGATCTTCAAGTGGTTATGACCCCAAGACTTAGTATGCAGTGCAATTCTCTGATTGAGTACGACAGCTCTGGAGTTGATAGGGTTCTTCCTCCTCGGTTTTCTCTTCCATTTTTAACCTCATTTCGCGGGGGATATTTTTATGGCTGGGGGGCTGTTCTTTTTCCGCACTGACGAGGGTATTTATGAAACTTAAGTAAATATACAGCTTTTAATTAAAAATGAAAATAATACTCGTGTTACGTTATTTAGTTTTTTGGCCCCCTGCAAGCTGCCAGTTGGAGTGAGGTGGTGGGGATGATTATGCCTTTGTCAAATTGACCAGTCAACTATGCGAATTTGTCTTTGCTGGAATTTCATTCCCCTCAGTTCCTGCATCATGCCGCGCGCATTTTTCTTTTTATTAAAAAAAAAAAGAAGAAACTATGGGATTAATTTTAAATTTATTATGAATCAATACAAAACATACTTTCAGGCCAAAGAAATACAAAATATATTACCCTTATCCTAAAAACTAACTACAAAATAAGTTTTATATTTAGAACAGAAAAAATGTCATATTAAAAATAAATTTTGCAAATGCATAGTGAGTATTGTTCAAGAGGAAAACGTCATATGTAAAAATGTTTTGAAGCATTATAGATGGTAATCAATGACCTAAAAACAAAATGAAATTTATAAGGAGAGAAGAAAGTGTGGCTTTTTGGCTGGTAAGGTGGGAAACAGCAAAATTACCAAATGCGGGTAAACCACGCGTAAGGAGGACACTGTTTTGAAAGATAACTGCGAGTGCAAATGGTTTTAGTTTATATGGCATTCTTTTCTTTTTAAACACCTCATTAATGATACTGTTGTATATAGGTGAGTAGTTTTATCCGTAATCTATAGATACTGAAATTCGTAAGATTTTATATTTTTCATTCATATTAATTTTCTATGTACTCTATGGAATTTAAGATTAGTTATAATATTTATTGTCCATGAATGGTATGGCTTTGATAAATCTTTATTGATGGATATTCTATTTTCCCATTGAGAACCCTTCATTTCCCATTATCAAGTTTTCAAGTGGATAGTCCTAATTATGTTTGTTTCTTACATGAGAAGTTTCCATCATTAGTGAAAGCACAAAATGTCTTTTAAAATGAGTAGACTTTCTATTCAATAGAGAATAATAACAATAAAGAAAACTCCTTTTTTTGGAGGGGTGATGAACTATAATCATTCATTTATATCTTTGCTCAGAATATATACTCCTCCGGTCCTTAATATAGGACCCAATTGTTGAGTTAGTTTTGGTCATAAATATAAGACATATTTCTCATATTTATCAGTTTTCTCTAAATTACCCCTATGGATACTCTATTAACCATAATCAAGTAGAAAAGAAAGAGGGGGTATTAAGAAAGATGATTATAGTGTTTTAGAAAAAATGTTGTCGCATTTCTTATAATTAACTAACTTGCCTAACTTCCTTAATCTAATCTAAATTAGTTAAATGGGTCTTACATTAAGATCGAAGAAGTATATATATATATGTTGTGCTGGGCTATGGTCAACTCTTATACCTAAACACACAATAGACTATGTATGAGTTTGTATTTATATAAGATGATTAATTAAATATTATTAAAAAATGGGGGAGATTATATTGTAATTATGTTTTGGTCACATGTGTGTTTGCTGGAAACTTGGAATGTAATGGAGCGCTCGATTGCCTTCCCCGCCTTCTCTTTTTGTTTTGTTGGCTGCACGAATATCAGTTGACATTTTCTATTGACAATTTCTTATATACAATATTTTAAATATATATATTACATAATAAACCATTTATATTTGGGGAAATTACATTGCAAGACCCTTATGAATGATTCAGAACGGTGAAAATCACAGAGAAATTGCTGACCAGTTAAATACCCCCCTTTCATTCCGGTTGGGCACATACACATATATAGAAATGCTTGTTTTTGGTGTGTTGAAGCATCAACCCTGTAGTTAGGTGGAGGAAGAAACATGAATAGAGAACCACCGGGCAATTAGATTACTTGGTAAAA